AGGGTTCTGGGTCAGGATCCCCGCTGCTGGGGCCCCGGGACCAGTTCTCACCGCTGGGGAAGCCGCTGGCACCGGTGGCCTCTCGCCCACATGCAGGACGTTCAGGGAGCTGGCGCGTTTCATCCTGCGGGAGAGAGCGTGAGGTGAGCAGCCGGCGTCGCTGCATGCGGGGATCGCACCTAGTGCCACGGCTCTTGCCCAGGGGCGGGTCAGCCTGCCGCCGCTCCACCCTGGGACAGGCCAACGCAGCGCAAGGGCTAGAGCTGCAGAATTAACACCTGCCAGCAAAACAGCCGAGCAAACTGCTGGGAAAGGAGCCCTGCTCGCTGGCTGCTGAGGGTAACCCCAGGCAGAACAGACCCGGGGTTTGACAGGTCCCCCCCAGGGACTGGATTAGACACTAGATTAACATAGCTGGGAATGGGGAGTGGTCACCCCCTGGTGCATGCGGGGGGTGGTGTCCTGGGGGGCTCTGCTCTTCCCCCCCTCCCCCGAGCACACAAGTGCGGTAACTAGTGGCGGGCCGGGGCAGCTCTACAGAGCCCTGGGCTGGCAGGGGCAGTTGCCTCGGGCCAAGGAGCACTTCAACAGCCAAAGACAACTCTGGCAAGGACGTGGGGGCCAGCGCTGGGCCCCTTGCTGGAGCTGGGTGGAAAAGCCCCTTACCCAGGGTTGGGGTCCATGGTCCGGACGCTCTCGCCTTTCAGCCGGGAGACGAGCTTCTCGCTGCCACGCCGGATGGATTCCCGCAGCTTGGAGAAGGAGCTACTCCGGCGCACGCTGCCCATGGCATCCTGGGGGAGACAGTGGGGAGCTGGGGGGTGCAAAGCTCCCAGCAGGGAGGGGCTGCAGCCCCCCCTGGATCCCAGGCCGCCTAGTCCCCCTACGAGCCCCGCTTCACTGACTCTGTGAGCCTGGCCCCTGCACTCTGCTTTCCCCCTCCCCACCCTGCCCAGGCCCTGGCGCTTACCTGGCTCAGGGGGTCTGCACTGCTCTGGCCTGCTGCGGGGTCACCTGCACGAGAGAGGAGATGAAGAGAAACCGCACTGAGACCCTGCTCCCACAGCTCCCCTCCCCCAGCAATAAACCTGCCCCAGAGAAGCCCCC